ATGTGAATATCATGGATCCTGTACATATATATATATATATATATATATCCAACCTTTGTAATACAGGGAGCACACTGGGTCTTGAACTTAGTGAAAAAAGTTACTTTAATGTATCAAAAAAAATACATCTGCTGTGAGTTACACACCGACCAACGTTTCGACCCTCCTGGGGTCTTTATCAAGATCACAGTGACACAATACATGAACAACAATATATACATAAATGTACACTAAACTTACCAATAGAGTGATGGAGCAGCCGCCGGACTGAACAACCCGGAAGTGAGAGACCCACGTGCACACATGCGTCTGACGTACGTGACAGGGGTTGCTAAGCAACCTAGCGAAACAAAGTGAGTGTATGCGGCAAAGAGCCGAACCAAAGTCCCAAACTTTCAAGTACAGAGTATAACATTAGGAGGAACTAAAATATCTTCCACCTAGCCTCATGCAGCACAGAAGAGATTCTATACCAACTGTGCCAAGTGACCTGAGTGCAGTCCTGAATAAAAGTGCCCGAATAGTGAACGGACTCTATATCAAGTGAGATCAAATCTGTGCATGACATAGGCTAAAAGGAAGTAAAGGGCATAAGGCAAATGTCGTAATTACAATAATCATCATAGGTACCCTTCAAGTACAGCATTAAATATATATCAAGAAAACATATTTCTATTTTAATCACTACATCAAAAGCTGAGCATAGACTATATATAGTATATTACTGAACACTGGAGAAAATAGTGAATACTAGTACAGCCAAATCTTATTCTGGGGATAACCACCTTATTATAGCTGGCCGGCAGACAATTCATCTATCTACAAGTAGTACATTACCACCTAAGTGTCAAGAGGTTAGTCAGACTACTAATCAGAAAACAAATAAATAAACAATAAAAAATAAAAAATGAATCTATACTGGAACAGGCACGGAGGGACCATCTATAAAGGACACAGATAGAGACACAAAGGGAGACATACATGCTAATCGCAGGGGTAATTAGGAGATCGATCTGTGTATTCCCATTAGTTAATACATCATACTTGTATCTATAAGCCAACAGTCAAGGGAAGCGCAATGAACCAGCAATGTATTTAAAGAAACATAGAAAGAACTAAGTTCTCATTGAGTCCTTTTGGCGTCACTGTGTTTAGGTGATAGATCCAATGAGCTTCACGCTGTAGAAGGAGTTTAGACCTGTCCCCTCCTCTTGGTTGGACAGGTACATGATCGATCGCAATGAACCTTAAAGTTGGTAAATGATGTTGCATCGCAAGAAAGTGTTTTGCGACCGGTTTGTCCGTTCTTTGGTCCCTAAATGCAGTAAGAATCCCCGACTGATGTCCCCTAATCCGATCTCGCAAAGTCATGTCGGTCTTACCGACATATGCAAGTCCACAGGGACATGTAATCATATATATGACGTGTGTGGTCATACAAGAAATATAGTGTTTAATAGGAATTCTTTTTCCATTATGCGGGTGGGCAAATGTCTGTCCAATTAGCATATGACTGCATGTGACGCAGCCACTGCATCTATAACAGCCTTTTTATGAATTTTTGGTGGTGCAGCGTAACATTGTCGAGGGTCATTTTTTACCAACAGGTCTCTCAAATTACGGTTGCGTCTGTAGCTGATAGTAGGGTGTACTTTGAATCTGTCAGGAAGGTTCTGATCGCACTGAAAAATATCCCAATGTCTATATATAGATTTTTTAATTAATGGGGTAGCTGTGTTAAAAGTAAGCGGAAGAAATATATTCTTCTTTTTATTAGATTGGGGTTCTTCAGTTTGGTTGAATTTGGTCCACGCTTTTTCTTTTGCATTCTTCAGAATGCGAGAATGGTATCCTCTTGTTATAAATCTGTCCCACACTTCTTGAAGCTGCTGATCGCGTCTATTTGGATCACTGTTGTATCTCATGACTCTCACAAATTGTGAGACAGGTAAAGAGTCCTTCACATGTTGTGGGTGGAAACTAGTAGCAGCCAATAGTGTATTGCGGTCAGTGGGTTTGCGGAATAATGTAAACCCTAATTGATTGCCTTCCTTATAGATCTTGACATCCAAAAACTCGATACTAGTGCTGTGCCAAGAGAGTGTCAGCACTACTGGAATAGGGAGATCGTTAATGTACTTTATCATCTCCTCGAGTGCAGTAGATGTTCCTTCCCAGATCATAAAGATGTCATCCACATATCTGAGATATTTAATTATGTACTGTTGGTACTCACGTAAAATATCTTTATGCTCGAACCAGTGCATAAACCCATTGGCATAGGCTGGTGCCATGGCTGCACCCATGGCAGTACCGGAGACTTGTAGGTAGAATTGATCCTCGAACTTAAAGTAATTGCACGTTAATGCAAGATCTAGCCATTCCATAAGATATGGAATAGGTGGACCGTTATACATATCGTCATTTGTCAGAATATCAATGATAGCCTCAGTTCCTTCCTTTTTCGGTATTATGGTGTAAAGACTTTGAACATCCATTGTGGCTAGAATTATCTCTTTGGCTGTAAGGTCTATCTTTTGTATCTGGCTTATGAGGTGTTGTGTATCCCTTAAGCAAGTCGGGAGCTTTTTAACACTGTTGTTAATGTGGTAATCAATAAACTGGGCAATCGGCTCCAGCAATCCCTCTTTAGCCAATACAATAGGACGACCTGGTGGATGTTGCAAATTTTTATGGATTTTTGGTAAAGTATACATCACTGGATGTTTCGGATTTTTAACAAATAAAAACTTAGCAGTATTTTCATCCAGGTAACGATGTGAAATTCCTTCACCAATCAATTGCTCTATCCTCCGCTGAAATTTTGTCACCGGGTCGAAGGTGAGTTTCAAATAGGTAGATGAATCCTGTAATTGTCGAATTATTTCTTTCTTATAATCAACATATGCTTGTATTACTACGGCTCCTCCTTTATCCGCAGGACGTATGGTAATGGTAGAGTCTTGCATCAAGTCTTTTAATGCTAAACGTTCATTTTTTGACAGGTTGTCTCTATGTGTAGGCAGAGTGGCTACAATGGAACTGGCATCTTGGCGTATGGTTTGCATAAAGGTTTTTATTGATGGATTAGGGGTATATACATCTTTTTTATAGCGGTTGGGAAACATGTGCACATTTAAAGAAGTATCTTCTTTTCTTACCTCATAGCTGTATAGTGTTCTTTGTAATTTATACAAATCAATCGCCATCTCGAACTTTTTAGGCTCCTTCTACAGCGTGAAGCTCATTGGATCTATCACCTAAACACAGTGACGCCAAAAGGACTCAATGAGAACTTAGTTCTTTCTATGTTTCTTTAAATACATTGCTGGTTCATTGCGCTTCCCTTGACTGTTGGCTTATAGATACAAGTATGATGTATTAACTAATGGGAATACACAGATCGATCTCCTAATTACCCCTGCGATTAGCATGTATGTCTCCCTTTGTGTCTCTATCTGTGTCCTTTATAGATGGTCCCTCCGTGCCTGTTCCAGTATAGATTCATTTTTTATTTTTTATTGTTTATTTATTTGTTTTCTGATTAGTAGTCTGACTAACCTCTTGACACTTAGGTGGTAATGTACTACTTGTAGATAGATGAATTGTCTGCCGGCCAGCTATAATAAGGTGGTTATCCCCAGAATAAGATTTGGCTGTACTAGTATTCACTATTTTCTCCAGTGTTCAGTAATATACTATATATAGTCTATGCTCAGCTTTTGATGTAGTGATTAAAATAGAAATATGTTTTCTTGATATATATTTAATGCTGTACTTGAAGGGTACCTATGATGATTATTGTAATTACGACATTTGCCTTATGCCCTTTACTTCCTTTTAGCCTATGTCATGCACAGATTTGATCTCACTTGATATAGAGTCCGTTCACTATTCGGGCACTTTTATTCAGGACTGCACTCAGGTCACTTGGCACAGTTGGTATAGAATCTCTTCTGTGCTGCATGAGGCTAGGTGGAAGATATTTTAGTTCCTCCTAATGTTATACTCTGTACTTGAAAGTTTGGGACTTTGGTTCGGCTCTTTGCCGCATACACTCACTTTGTTTCGCTAGGTTGCTTAGCAACCCCTGTCACGTACGTCAGACGCATGTGTGCACGTGGGTCTCTCACTTCCGGGTTGTTCAGTCCGGCGGCTGCTCCATCACTCTATTGGTAAGTTTAGTGTACATTTATGTATATATTGTTGTTCATGTATTGTGTCACTGTGATCTTGATAAAGACCCCAGGAGGGTCGAAACGTTGGTCGGTGTGTAACTCACAGCAGATGTATTTTTTTTGATACATTAAAGTAACTTTTTTCACTAAGTTCAAGACCCAGTGTGCTCCCTGTATTACAAAGGTTGGATATATATAACGCGGGTTTGCACCTGGGCATTTATACTATATATGTATGAAGGAGGAGTGCCTTGCCTTACTGATGTTTTTGATTTATGTAAAGTGCTAGCGTGGCACTTGCATGAGCACCCCCTTAGTTTTGAATATAAGTCTTATCATCTAAACAGTGATCCACAGCTATCAGGATTGTTTTTCATTATGGAGGATTTTTTGCATCGAGCTGGAGCATTAGCAGAGACAGCAGAAACTCTTTCTATCACTGAGGAAAAAGCTTTATCTGTGCTATGGCCACGGAGTTCACAAGATTTACCACATACTTATGCAGCAAAAGATCTATATAATGATTTATCCAGGCTAAAGAAGAGAGAAGTAGACCTGGATTTACACGGAGTGTTTTTGTCAGACTATTATCGATCGAAACATATCCCAAGGGGTTTCCGGATTAAAAATGCCCCAACTATTGGACGACAGAATCCGGACTTCTGTAAGAAGTGGATGAACATTTCCAATAAATGTTCGCTGGACTGGATGGTGATAGTGATTGAGGAAGTTGGTCAGGAATTACTCCATGTTAAAAAATCGATACAGGAGTTTGAATTAAATCATGTTACTGCACTGCAATCAACCCCATCCACTGACTTTATGATAAAATTACAGGATGATATCCAAAAATATCAGAATGAACTTATTCGTTTTAAGAAAATCAAAGTAGAAAAAGTTAATCATGACTACAAATTTCATCAAGTTTACCGCTGGTTAAGTGGGTCTGATACCAACACACGGAACCCTACCCCGAAATTTAGAACACGGATTAGAAAACCATCTTTACAAACAGTGGATATCAGCTCAGGCGAATCTGCCTCAGAAGGGGACAACAGGGGTGATACACATAGCAGCAAACAGGTGACTTTTTTGAGGGAAGGCGAACATCTAAACGACCCACCACGGATGCCCAATACCGGTGGACAAGAGAAAAGAGACCTAAGAGACACCTTAGACGTGGACAAAAGGGTCACAAGAAATACAGGACACATGGGCAAACCTCCCAGACAGCGGAGGTAATATCTATTTTCAACCTTTCTAATAAAATTCTTGACTACAACCATATTTCGGTCCTACAAAAGGGATTGACCTTCATACCCGTAGCTAAGCCTAAAAAGTTCGAGATGGCGATTGATTTGTATAAATTACAAAGAACACTATACAGCTATGAGGTAAGAAAAGAAGATACTTCTTTAAATGTGCACATGTTTCCCAACCGCTATAAAAAAGATGTATATACCCCTAATCCATCAATAAAAACCTTTATGCAAACCATACGCCAAGATGCCAGTTCCATTGTAGCCACTCTGCCTACACATAGAGACAACCTGTCAAAAAATGAACGTTAAGCATTAAAAGACTTGATGCAAGACTTTACCATTACCATACGTCCTGCGGATAAAGGAGGAGCCGTAGTAATACAAGCATATGTTGATTATAAGAAAGAAATAATTCGACAATTACAGGATTCATCTACCTATTTGAAACTCACCTTCGACCCGGTGACAAAATTTCAGCGGAGGATAGAGCAATTGATTGGTGAAGGAATTTCACATCGTTACCTGGATGAAAATACTGCTAAGTTTTTATTTGTTAAAAATCCGAAACATCCAGTGATGTATATTTTACCCAAAATCCATAAAAATTTGCAACATCCACCAGGTCGTCCTATTGTATCGGCTAAAGAGGGATTGCTGGAGCCGATTGCCCAGTTTATTGATTACCACATTAACAACAGTGTTAAAAAGCTCCCGACTTGCTTAAGGGATACACAACACCTCATAAGCCAGATACAAAAGATAGACCTTACAGCCAAAGAGATAATTCTAGCCACAATGGATGTTCAAAGTCTTTACACCATAATACCGAAAAAGGAAGGAACTGAGGCTATCATTGATATTCTGACAAATGACGATATGTATAACGGTCCACCTATTCCATATCTTATGGAATGGCTAGATCTTGCATTAACGTGCAATTACTTTAAGTTCGAGGATCAATTCTACCTACAAGTCTCTGGTACTGCCATGGGTGCAGCCATGGCACCAGCCTATGCCAATGGGTTTATGCACTGGTTCGAGCATAAATATATTTTACGTGAGTACCAACAGTACATAATTAAATATCTCAGATATGTGGATGACATCTTTATGATCTGGGAAGGAACATCTACTGCACTCGAGGAGATGATAAAGTACATTAACGATCTCCCTATTCCAGTAGTGCTGACACTTTCTTGGCACAGCACTAGTATCGAGTTTTTGGATGTCAAGATCTATAAGGAAGGCAATCAATTAGGGTTTACATTATTCCGCAAACCCACTGACCGCAATACACTATTGGCTGCTACTAGTTTCCACCCACAACATGTGAAGGACTCTTTACCTGTCTCACAATTTGTGAGAGTCATGAGATACAACAGTGATCCAAATAGACGCGATCAGCAGCTTCAAGAAGTGTGGGACAGATTTATAACAAGAGGATACCATTCTCGCATTCTGAAGAATGCAAAAGAAAAAGCGTGGACCAAATTCAACCAAACTGAAGAACCCCAATCTAATAAAAAGAAGAATATATTTCTTCCGCTTACTTTTAACACAGCTACCCCATTAATTAAAAAATCTATATATAGACATTGGGATATTTTTCAGTGCGATCAGAACCTTCCTGACAGATTCAAAGTACACCCTACTATCAGCTACAGACGCAACCGTAATTTGAGAGACCTGTTGGTAAAAAATGACCCTCGACAATGTTACGCTGCACCACCAAAAATTCATAAAAAAGGCTGTTATAGATGCAGTGGCTGCGTCACATGCAGTCATATGCTAATTGGACAGACATTTGCCCACCCGCATAATGGAAAAAGAATTCCTATTAAACACTATATTTCTTGTATGACCACACACGTCATATATATGATTACATGTCCCTGTGGACTTGCATATGTCGGTAAGACCGACATGACTTTGCGAGATCGGATTAGGGGACATCAGTCGGGGATTCTTACTGCATTTAGGGACCAAAGAACGGACAAACCGGTCGCAAAACACTTTCTTGCGATGCAACATCATTTACCAACTTTAAGGTTCATTGCGATCGATCATGTACCTGTCCAACCAAGAGGAGGGGACAGGTCTAAACTCCTTCTACAGCGTGAAGCTCATTGGATCTATCACCTAAACACAGTGACGCCAAAAGGACTCAATGAGAACTTAGTTCTTTCTATGTTTCTTTAAATACATTGCTGGTTCATTGCGCTTCCCTTGACTGTTGGCTTATAGATACAAGTATGATGTATTAACTAATGGGAATACACAGATCGATCTCCTAATTACCCCTGCGATTAGCATGTATGTCTCCCTTTGTGTCTCTATCTGTGTCCTTTATAGATGGTCCCTCCGTGCCTGTTCCAGTATAGATTCATTTTTTATTTTTTATTGTTTATTTATTTGTTTTCTGATTAGTAGTCTGACTAACCTCTTGACACTTAGGTGGTAATGTACTACGTGTAGATAGATGAATTGTCTGCCGGCCAGCTATAATAAGGTGGTTATCCCCAGAATAAGATTTGGCTGTACTAGTATTCACTATTTTCTCCAGTGTTCAGTAATATACTATATATAGTCTATGCTCAGCTTTTGATGTAGTGATTAAAATAGAAATATGTTTTCTTGATATATATTTAATGCTGTACTTGAAGGGTACCTATGATGATTATTGTAATTACGACATTTGCCTTATGCCCTTTACTTCCTTTTAGCCTATGTCATGCACAGATTTGATCTCACTTGATATAGAGTCCGTTCACTATTCGGGCACTTTTATTCAGGACTGCACTCAGGTCACTTGGCACAGTTGGTATAGAATCTCTTCTGTGCTGCATGAGGCTAGGTGGAAGATATTTTAGTTCCTCCTAATGTTATACTCTGTACTTGAAAGTTTGGGACTTTGGTTCGGCTCTTTGCCGCATACACTCACTTTGTTTCGCTAGGTTGCTTAGCAACCCCTGTCACGTACGTCAGACGCATGTGTGCACGTGGGTCTCTCACTTCCGGGTTGTTCAGTCCGGCGGCTGCTCCATCACTCTATTGGTAAGTTTAGTTTACATTTATGTATATATTGTTGTTCATGTATTGTGTCACTGTGATCTTGATAAAGACCCCAGGAGGGTCGAAACGTTGGTCACAGCAGATGTATTTTTTTTGATACATTAAAGTAACTTTTTTCACTAAGTTCAAGACCCAGTGTGCTCCCTGTATTACAAAGGTTGGATATATATAACGCGGGTTTGCACCTGGGCATTTATACTATATATGTATGAAGGAGGAGTGCCTTGCCTTACTGATGTTTTTGATATATATATATATATATATATATATACACACAGGATGTCAAACTAAATTTAAAAATAAAAAATACCTTTTAAAATACCAAATAAAGGGATTTTATAATATGAATAAGCCTGCCACAACAAACAATGTACCCTATTTTGGCAGCTTTATGTCTATGCCAATATAATAAATTCCATTTTTTTTTAGCTCTCAACAGTTAAATAGGGTCTTATGATGTGCACCTTTGACAGAAAGTTGTGCACACTTGTGGTTAATATAATATGCAGAAAGGCTTCCGTCACCTGTACATGCATATTTTATAAGAGTTTATGCATATTTTATAAGGATATTTCTATGACTAGCAGATAAAAACATACAAAATACAGTACACTTGCCTGAAAGTGGCTTTAAAAACTACATGGGAATTCCATTTTATTTTACTTAGCTCAGAGTTTTAAAAATATTTTGGGGGGATTTTACTTTATATTAATGTATTGGATTTACAGCTAAAGTTGAATGTGCTTTTGTATGTTGTCACCGTTTGTATGTTGTTTCTCTATTGGTCATAAAAGCACCCTTACAATACATGCAACTCATGTGCTTGTTCATAGATGAACAGACATATGGATTGACCAACAGACTGTTGAAGTAGAAAAAAATATTACCAGGTTCAATAAAAGCATTTTAATTGACCATTAAAATAGACAGAGATATCTCTTGGAGATGGACAAAAGTCATCTAACATCATATTACAATTCCTCATATTTTATACATAAGACCCAGAACTGGCCTTTCGTTTAGCTTTTCCTGTTGGCTAAATTCTAGCATAACTGACAATTTTAAGGTTTAAAGTTTAAGTATCACCTGATCTTTCTAACAAATGGCTTGACCACAGTCATGTGTCTTACTTCCCTAAAATATAGCTTGTCTTTGCTTAATAAGAGCTAATATATTTAAATATAGTTTCCTTGTCTAGAATTTAACCTGTTCCATGTTGAAATATGTTTTACTACAGATATTTCATTAGAATAATCTCCCCCATATCTAATCTAACCTAACACATTGTCAACTGTCCATTCATGTCTCAACTGTTAACTTCCTCTTCTAGAGCTAATCACCTATCTCCCCTTCCCCCTGGCAACCGCGGACAGGACACTTGCAAAATACCCTTTCCTGTTACAGTCCAAAAAAAGCAGTCTTCTGTAGAAATGAATTTGTAGAGAAAAACTGTTTTAAAAGTCAGCATATATTTCTTCAAGTAAATATTCTTCTTTGATTATACTTTAAGATGGTGGACAAACAGCAAAATGGCTGACAGCATGTCAGTAGCAGGTTATATGTGTTCACAAGACCAACAGACCAACCGACAGACAGCCATACAGATAGATAGACAGATACATAGATAATATTATCTTATTTTTTTTTATTCATTTTTTTCTTGTGCGATGAGTGGTAAAAAGCATACATAGCCACGGTAGCATTTGCAGGCAGTTTATACATAATTTCAAATCTTGGCAGTTAATACAGCACACATTTTTTGTATATATTTAACACGAAGTCAACAGGCTAATATAAACATAAGAGCATAACATTTTCAGCGAGTTAGATCGGACGTGTTTAAAACAGCATTGGGTTTGCTGAAGCTTGGACATGTGGTCGGTAGGGAGGATAGCTTTCGCTTCGTAT